CCTAGTTTTAGCAGGTACCCGCTCCCCCTTCCCATCATGTCTCCTAGGGGATTCCACTGGAAGTTTGGTCTCCCAGCCTGGCCGCAATCACAGGTTCCAGGAGGCTGGAGCCACAAGAAGTTACAGCCGGCTTCCCACAGTTAACATCCTGGCTCCGAGAACCCAAAAACTACCAAAGAACCTACCCGGCTGAGGAGAGGGTTTGATCCCCGGACAGGTGAGTATCTGTCCTCATGCACACGGGACGTTTTTATCTTCCGAAACGGCCCGTCTATGGCCTGCATAAGTCCTTATTTACACCGGACATTTTTACAGCGGCTGTTTTTGGCTTTGACGTTTATTCCTACAGCCAGTAAACCCCGGCATGTTATCCTATGTGTCCATCCCCGGCATGTTATCCTATGTGTCCATCCCCGGCATGTTATCCTATGTGTCCATCCCCGGCATGTTATCCTATGTGTCCATCCCCGGCGTGTTATCCTATGTGTCCATCCCCGGCGTGTTATCCTATGTGTCCATCCCCGGCGTGTTATCCTATGTGTCCATCCCCGGCGTGTTATCCTATGTGTCCATCCCCGGCGTGTTATCCTATGTGTCCATCCCCGGCGTGTTATCCTATGTGTCCATCCCCGGCGTGTTATCCTATGTGTCCATCCCCGGCGTGTTATCCTATGTGTCCATCCCCGGCGTGTTATCCTATGTGTCCATCCCCGGCGTGTTATCCTATGTGTCCATCCCCAGCATGTTATCCTATGTGTCCATCTCCAGCATGTTATCCTATGTGTCCATCTCCGGCATGTTATCCTACGTGTCCATCCCCGGCATGTTATCCTACGTGTCCATCCCCAGCATGTTATCCTACGTGTCCATCCCCAGCATGTTATCCTACGTGTCCATCCCCAGCATGTTATCCTATGTGTCCATGCACACACAGACTGTTTTCTTAGCAGGGGTGTTTTTTGGCTGGAAAAAAAAACCCAGTGAATTTCTAAAGGAGTTTTTTAGCTGTAAAAAAAACGCTCTAATGCTGAAAAAGTGGTAAATCGCAGCAAACCAGCATTTTTGGAAATTTTTTGGACCCCCCCAAATTTTTTTTTTTTCTTTTTAAAAACAAACAAAACTAAAAAATGCAAACGTGAAAAAACGCAGCTAAACACTAATACAAAAAAACGCTGAAAAACGTACATTTTTTTAACGTGACTTTACACAGCTAACGTTACCAGTGTTATTTAAGTGCCCCGTGTGCATGAAGCCTGAAAGTCGGATTTTTTTTTTTTTCTGTGAGTTTTGTAGCTTCTGTTCTATAAAAGTCTAGTCTTTGCAGGGATTACATTGGTGATATTTCGGGATGTGCAGTGACATGCCTGTACAGGAGACACATGTAGGACACTAGTAAGCTGCTGCTTTGTGTCTGCAGGGTGTGAATATCAGAACACACAGAAGCTATCTCCACTGGGCACTGCGGTTAGCAAGGTCATGAGCTCCATTTGGGCACTTGCTATAGGGATATCAGGTCATTAATCAAAGCTGAATGAGTGAAGAATAGCAAGATCCGTGCTACAGAGGAGAATATATCCACAGCAGATATCAAACTTTTGTTTTCCTAGCAACAAAATGCAAAAGGAAATACTGTAACTGCTATAGAATTGCTGGTGGATCTTACAGTAGTCATATTCATTTTGATTTTTATTATCTGATGGATGTGCAGTTCAACTAAAACAACCTTCAACACAGGGAGCCTTGAAATTACTTTCCATTCTCAGGAACCCTCTGCAAAAATACTACAGTATATCTAAAACGCATGATATGTGAGTGTGATGGTCATTGGGAAGAATGCTCCTTACACTTGTGGTCAGTGGGAAGAATGCTCCTCACACTTGTGGTCAGTGAGAAGAATGCTCCTCACACTTGTGGTCAGTGGGAAGAATGCTCCTTACAATTGTAGTCAGTGGGAAGAATGCTCCTTACACTTGTGGTCAGTGAGAAGAATGCTCCTCACACTTGTGGTCAGTGAGAAGAATGCTCCTCACACTTGTGGTCAGTGAGAAGAATGCTCCTCACACTTGTGGTCAGTGAGAAGAATGCTCCTCACACTTATTGTCAGTGGGAAGAATGCTCCTCATACTTGTGGTCAGTGGGAAGAATGCTCCTTACACTTGTGGTCAGTGGGAAGAATGCTCCTCACACTTGTGGTCAGTGGGAAGAATGCTCCTCACACTTGTGGTCAGTGGGAAGAATGCTCCTCACACTTGTGGTCAGTGGGAAGAATGCTCCTCACACTTGTGGTCAGTGGGAAGAATGCTCCTCACACTTGTGGTCAGTGGGAAGAATGCTCCTCACACTTGTGGTCAGTGGGAAGAATGCTCCTCACACTTGTGGTCAGTGGGAAGAATGCTCCTCACACTTGTGGTCAGTGGGAAGAATGCTCCTCACGCTTGTGGTCAGTGGGAAGAATGCTCCTCACGCTTGTGGTCAGTGGGAAGAATGCTCCTCACGCTTGTGGTCAGTGGGAAGAATGCTCCTCACGCTTGTGGTCAGTGGGAAGAATGCTCCTCACGCTTGGGGTCAGTGGGAAGAATGCTCCTCACGCTTGGGGTCAGTGGGAAGAATGCTCCTCACGCTTGGGGTCAGTGGGAAGAATGCTCCTCACGCTTGGGGTCAGTGGGAAGAATGCTTCTCACGCTTGGGGTCAGTGGGAAGAATGCTTCTCACGCTTGGGGTCAGTGGGAAGAATGCTTCTCACGCTTGGGGTCAGTGGGAAGAATGCTTCTCACGCTTGGGGTCAGTGGGAAGAATGCTTCTCACGCTTGGGGTCAGTGGGAAGAATTACCCCCCTATAGATAGCTTCAAATATCAATGGTGTCAGTGGGAACTTATCTGAGAGGCAGACATTGCTCAATGAACCCCTAGCAACCTCTGGAGCAGTGTTTCTCAACCTTTTTTCAGTCAAGGCTGTAGCCTGCATCGAGTCCAACCCCAAGCGCAGGAGCATTTGTGTTTGCTGGTTCTACGTGGGAGTACCCACTGTATCAGGACCTATGCACTGAAATGACGCTGAAGGTTCTTGAATCACCATGTAATGAGTCTTTATAATAAAGGTCACAATTCGTCACCATCGTATGCCGGCGAAAAACATTCTTCATTGTGATCGTAACTTGTAAACAGGTTCATGGTTTTTAAACCTCCACAAGTCACCGCTTAGAATCAAACCTATAATGCACATAGTGTAGGTTATTAATGAAATGTCAGTAGGGGAGGTCAGGGGAGAGTGCCTTTAAACATCCTCATTACAAGTCTGCACCACTAGAATGCCTCCTAAGTGTAGTAGAAGGAAGGTTTTTTTTTTTTACCAGCCCTTAAGTGCTCAGATCACAGACTTTTCAAAATTGCATCCATCGCTCAAATGTCAACTTGAAATGGCAGCCGCCTTAATGCACGCTGGATATATCTTGTGCTTTCCAATGCTTAAAGTCTTGGCTTTCAACTGAAGAACCGCCCTTCAGGTAATTATCACCTTTTCCTCATATTAGATGTACGGTGAATAAACAAATTGTTTTACCCGTGGCCACAGAGGTCTTATAATACTTAAACTCCCATCAGGCAGCTGGGTACGTCCATAAGGAGCTACTTCAACGCGTTTTGCTTTGAAGCTACAGGCTCCGTCAGGATGCACTTTACACACGTGCTGGATGTCTATTTAAAATGGCGAGATTAGCCAAGTTATAGTCACAATTCGATCCCATCTTAAAGGGACCATAACATGGCATGTCCTTCTACACATTGCCTACTCTATCCACCAGTGTAAAGCATTGTATCAGTAGCACTTCCGCCTGGCAGTACTAGGGTCGTTGGTTCGATTCCCAACCACGGCACCACCTGCCTGGAGTTTGCGTGTTCTCCCTGTGCCTGCGTGGGTTTCCTCCATGTACTCTGGTTTCCTCCCACACTCTGTTCGACTCCAAAGACATGCTAGTAGGTTAATTGGCTCCTAGTATGTGTATGTATGAATGTGAGTTAGGGGCCTTAGATTGTACACCCCTTGAGGGTTAGGGACTGATGTCAATGTACAATATATATGTAAAGCACAAACTGACAGCACTATATAAGTACCTGAAATAAATAAAATAAATTCTTCTTCACTTGGACATTCTTTTGAACAAGATTGCAGTATACCTTAACCACTTCAAGTCCGGATACTTTCACCCCGTTCCTGTCCAGGCCAATTTTCAGCTTTCAGCGCTGTCACACTTTGCATGGCAATTGTGCGGTCATTCAACACTGTAACCATATGAATTTTTTCGCATTTTTTTTAGACAAAATTTTATTTTGGTGGTATTTATTCACCATTGGGATTTTTCTTTTTTTCTTTTTGCTATATAAATGAAAAAGTCCTCGACGAGCAGGGCCCTCCTATTCCTTCTGTACTGAAATGTATTGTAATTGTACTGTCTCCCTTATATTGTAAAGCGCTGAGCAAACTGTTGGCGCGATATAAATCCTGTATAATAATAATATATAAAATCCTGTATAATAATAATAATATATAAATCCTGTATAATAATAATTAGTCCAAAAATTTTGAAAAGTGTTTTTCTTATAAAATTTTACAAATAAAGAATCTTTCTTCATAAATCTTGGCCAAAATATATTCAGTTATCTTTTTAGCAAAAAAAAAGAGCCCAAATTAGTTAACCAAAAATTGTAATTTTTCAAAATTTTTTTTTTACATTTTTTTTTTTTTGATTATTTAAAAAAAAAAAAAAAAAAAAAAAATACTGTCACCTTAGCAGTATAGTGTTACCATAGTGACACTGTACTACTTGTGGGGGGTGAAGAAGATATTTTTTTTTCTTTTACACTGATTACTTTTACACCCATAAAGGCTGTAAAAGCAATCATTTCTCTTTCTCTCTGGCTGCTTTCTTGCAGGAATTGAGAAATACTGTGTGAGCTGTGATTGGTCATAGCTTGTCACATGGTACAAGGCTGTTGTGAATAGCCTTGTACCATGTGACCTCTGTGATCATTCACAGATTTCACATGTAGTAAGCAATGATGTCAGAAGTGACATCTTGCTTACTACTATTCATGTGATCACTGATTGGCCAATCACATTGATGAGGTCCCGTACAGCAATCAGTATTCCGTTTTGTGTCTGGAGGACACAGCAGGTACTGGATTGCGGTGCCGCGCGCTCCCAGGGAGTGTGCACAAACAGGGAGGCGAGGAGGACGTTTATAAACGGCCACCTGCCCCTGCACTGCTCCCGTCCAGCCGTTTATATACATGGGCCGGACAGGAAGTGGTTAATAAAGAGACACTTATCAGTCCAGCAATATCCTCACTCAAGCTGGTAGGTGAATTGTCTCCTGTCTAAATTGTCCCTAGTATGTGTATGTATGAATGTGAGTTAGGGACCTTAGATTGTACGCCCCTTGAGGGTTAGGGACTGATGTGAATGTTCAATATATATGTAACGCGCTGCGTAAATTGATGCCGTGTTAGAAGTATCTGAAATAAATAAATGTACTTACCTTCTCTGTGCAAAGGTTTTATACAGAGCAGCCCTGGTCCGCCTCTTCTTAGGTTTCCTGCCGGTGCTTCTGGCACACCCCCCTAATGAGTGCTCCCATAGCAAGCGGTATTGGCAAGCAGAGCGGGGCTCGGCCTCACCCCTGTCTCCGCTCCCTCCTCATTGGCTGTTATTAACAGTAATGGAAGCCAATGAGGAGGGCGAGAGGCAAGAGAGACGCTGCTCTTGTGCACATTGCTGGAGTGGGATTGGGCTCAGGTAAGTATAAGGGGGGCTGGGTGGGATTTGCATGCAGCTTTTTTTACCTGAATGCTGAGAATTCTGCCTTTGGAAACACTTTAAATATTTAGCAAAGTTCCACAATCAGAGTTTCAAGTGGCGATGCTTAACACAGTTGGATATAATGGTATGACTACAATGCACAGAGAAATAACAATACACTGAAAAGGCATTCAATACCTTTGAGTTACCAGACGGTAATACCTGAAGAACAAAATAAACCAATACAGCATGCAAGAAGAGAAAAGCGAGAAATACAAAAGTGAAGAAAAAGGCGAGGATAGAGAAACGAGGGGGAGATTGTTGGTAAACACTTTAATGTTTTTTTTGGATAGCATAGGGAAGGGTTAAACACCCCTGTAACATTCGTTTTGGTGTCTGTGCCCCTGTTCGGATGATTTCACCTTCACTTTCTGTACCTGAGTCAATTGGATTTTGAAAATTTGGGTTGTCATGGAAACTAGGACTGGTGATAAAGCTTCAGTGGAGACACCTTTTATCCCATGATAACTCTTATAGAAGTGAATTTCCCTTCCTAGGGGTAGATTTCCTCTCATTTCCTGTTGTCTCCCTCCGTTTGTAAGTATGAGTTGTATGTAACTCGGGGACTGCCTGTAGTGGGAACTGCAGCTAGGAATGTGTATGTGGGGGGGGCACTGAACAATCCACCCCCAAAAATCCCTTACAGCAAGACACCTGGGAGAGTTAAAGGAGAACTCCAGTATTTTATTTTCCTATGCAGTGGGGCTATTTTTTGTCACGTAACAACCAAAAACGTAAATGTATTCATTTGGGATTTTATGTGTTAGATCAACACAAAGTGGCACTTAATTGTGAAGGGGAAGGAAAATTATAAATGTTTTTCAACATTTTTTTACAAATCTCTGAAAAGTGTAGCATGCATTTGTATTCAGCCCCCTTTACTCTGATATAACAAATATCTAGTGGAACCAGTTGCCTTCAGAAGTCATCTAATTAGTAAATAGTCCACCTGTGTGTAACTTAATCTTTGTATAAATACATCTGTTCTGTGAAGCCCTCAGAGGTTTGTTAGAGAACAAAGAGCACCATAAAGGAGAAGGAACACACCAGACAGGTCAGGGATAAAGTTGTGGAGACGTTTAAAGCAGGGTTAGGTTATAAAAACATATCCTAAACTTTGAACATCTCAGGGAGCACTGTTCAATCCATCATCCAATAGTGGGAAGTGTATGGCACAGCTGCAAACCTACCAAGACATGGCCACCCACCTAAACTGACAGCCCGGGCAAGGAGTGCGCTATTCAGAGAAGCAGCCAAGAGGCCCATGGTAACTCTGGAGGAGCTGCCGAGATCCACAGCTCAGGTGGGAGAATCTGTCCACAGGACAACTATTAGTCGTGCACTCCACAAATCTGGGCTTTATGGAAAAGTGGTAAGAAGAAAGCCATTGTTGAAAGAAAGCCATAAGAAGTCCCATTTGCAGTTTGCGAGAAGCCATGTGGGGGACACTGCAAACGTGGAAGAAGGTGCTCTGGTCAGATGAGACCAAAATTTTACTTTTTTGGTCTAAAAGCAAAACACTTTGTGTGGCAGAAAACTAACACTGCACATCACCCTGAACACACCATCCCCACCGTGAAACATGGTGGTTGCAGCATCATCTTGTGGAGATGCTTTTCTTCAGCAGGGACAGGAAAGCTGGTCAGAGTTGATGGGAAGATGGATGGAGCCAAATACAGGACAATCTTAGAAGAAAACCTGTTAGTCTGCAAAAGACTTGAGACTGGGGCGGATGTTCACCTTCCAGCAGGACAACGACCTGAAGCATCCAGCCAGAGCTACAATGGAATGGTTTAGGTCAAAGCATATTCATGTGTTAGAATGGCCCAGTCACAGTCCAGACCTAAATCCAATTGAGAATCTGTAGCAAGACTTGAAAATTGCTGTTCAGACACTCTCCATCCAATCTGACAGAGCTTGAGCAATTTTGCAAAGAAGAAGAAGAATGGGCAAAAATTTCACTCTGGATGTGCAAAGCTGGTAGAGACATCCCCAAAAAGATTTGCTGCTGAAATTACAGTGAAAGGGGGTCCTACAAAGTATCGACTCCGGGGGGCTGAATACAAATGCATGCCACAGTTTTCACAGATTTGTCAAAAATGTTGAAAACCATTTATCATTTTCCTTCCACTTTACAATTGTGTGTCACTTTGTGTTGGTCTATCATATAAAATCCCAATAAAATACGTTTACGGTTTTGGTTGTAACGTTACAAAATGTGGAACATTACAAGGCACTGTATGTTCAGAGAAATGCGTTGCCACTTGGCTTTTGGGATTATTTGTAATATCCCTCAAATGCTCAGCTATGTGGGTCTTAATCTCCCTTTTTGTCCTCCCTATATAGATTAATCCACAGAGACAATTCAACTGATAAACAACTTTACATGACTGACAGTTCTAAAACACATGAATTTGTTTAGATCCATCAGAACTGGTGAACATCTAGTGGTGATATCTCTGCATAGCCACAAATGTTGCACCCACCTAATCTATACATACCTTGTTTGTGATTTTTCTTCTCCCGGAGGCCTGGAATTCAATTATTACTAGAATGTCATTAAAATTTTGATGTTTCTAGTTTTTATGTAAGAAGCCAAAAAAAAAGTTGAAATACATTTACTCATGCTTCTGAATGTGCTACATATTACACCCTAAAAACATGTAACTAAGTTCACCTTTCAGAGCATGTTACACCCATAATTCGGGTTTAGGATGCTCCAAACCTGCCCCCCCACACCAGGGCTATCTTAATGCATGGGCATACCTGGTCACTGCCCAGGGTCTCAGGTGCATAGGGGCCTCATAATAATCTTGCATTACATCATACTTTCCAGCTGTCCTGCATTTGCTGGGACAGTCACGCTTTTTTATCAAGCTGTCCCGGGATGGTCTGGGCAGTGTGCCAGAACCTATACTGTGTCCTTCTGACTCCCCACCTTGTACTGTGCCCTTTGTGTTGATTAGCAAGGGAGAATGTCACCAGCACACCGAGGATCACCAATATGGGTCCAAAAGTTTTAATGAACGATCACATAGTTACAGCAAGGCAACGTTTCGGAGTCTCTCAGGACCCCTTCATCAGGCATGTGACAAAGGGATCCTGTGAGACACTGAAACGTTGCCTTGCTGTAACTATGTGATCATTCATTAAAACTTTTGGACCCATATTGGTGATCCTCGGTGTGCTGGTGACATTCTCCCTTGCTGATTCTGTTCGGTTCCAGCCGACGGTCGCTGCAGAACCCACTTATACACACAGACATTTTTAACGCAGGAACGTGTGCGTTTAGATTGTACACTTGCTTTGTGTTGATTAGTCTGATTTATTGCATGTTTTCTTATTGTTTAAAATCAATTTTATTGAAAACACTAATAAATACAGTTCTCAGCATAAATGTGTACACCGCAACAGATTTGTCAGAAAACCTTTCCTTTCCTTTCAGAAATGCTATTAAGACGGCCGTGCCCCACACCCGTGATTCCCCCAGGGAAGCCTGACCTTGCACCCGTGATCCACTGATCAGGGGTGCGATGCTTTGCAGGCTCTTGGAGGAAAAAAATAATAAATGCACTTTTTTTTCCTGCAAAAATATGTACATTTATTATTTTTTCCAAAAAGGTGAATTTAGGCATGAATTTAGAGTATAAAGAGATAATGGGGAAATGTGTATGTATTGCATTGTATGTATACCTGTGTGTGTGTGTGTGTGTGTGTGTATGTATGTGTATTGCATTGTTTGTATGTGTATTGCATTGTTTGTATGTGTATTGCATTGTTTGTATGTGTATTGCATTGTTTGTATGTGTATTGGATTGTATGTGTGTGTATTGGATTGTATGTGTGTGTATTGCATTGTATGTGTGTGTATTGCATTGTATGTGTGTGTATTGCATTGTATGTGTGTGTATTGCATTGTATGTGTATGTATTGCATTGTATGTGTGTGTGTGTGTATTGCATTGTATGTGTATGTGTGTTGCATTGTATGTGTATGTGTATTGCATTGTATGTGTATGTGTGTGTGTATTGCATTGTATGTGTATGTGTATTGCATTGTATGTGTATGTGTATTGTATTGCATTGTATGTGTATGTATGTGTATTGCATTGCATGTGTATGTATGTGTATTGCATTGCATGTGTATGTATGTGTATTGCATTGGTATGTGTATGTATGTGTATTGCATTGCATTGGTATGTGTATATATGTGTATTGCATTGTATGTGTATATATGTGTATTGCATTGTATGTGTATTGCATTGTATGTGTATTGCATTGTATGTGTATTGCATTGTGTATGTGTGTATTGCATTGTATGTGTATTGTATACTTTTTTTTTTTTTTTTAAAAAAAGCTAGAACACCCTCCTACTAATGGGTTCTTGGTAAACCTACTACCTAACACTCTATTTGCTTCTCATGCACCGACATTCGGATTCATCCCGAGCACACAT